GTATATGGGCCCGTCATAGAAATGAATAAACACGCCTATCAATCATTGCATAAGCAGACGCCTGGTGGCACTACTTTGGCAAAAGAACTCGAGTTTAACCAATACCCATGTCATAAGCTATTCCTGTCGCGTGATTCTAAATGGAGAGAGCCATTTCCATCAATTATTCCTTATCGCAAGAATCAACAGAACGAGGAGTGCCATGCTGTGCGCACCATGAACTGCTTCCTTTCTCCGGATAAGGTCGCGTATGGCGCCCATACGCCACTGCAGGCATCCCCGAGGTCCATTCTGCAGTCCCTGCAATGGATGTCCGACGGAGCATGCACAACTGAAAAAGCCTGGTTGGATGAAGACGCCGGCTCCAAGGTCACTATACTGTACATTTCGCTGTACTACGTCGAGCCATACCGAAAGCTGAAAATATTACAAAAGGGAACTATTCTTTCACTGCATGTGCAAAGTGATGAAAACTGGTACAGTAGGACAAACTGGTACAGTAGGACAAAGTTACACACAGCCCAGATATCACCGAGTATCACATCCGAGGGCTTCAGTTGTCTCGCGAAAGCCCCATACCCAGAGCCGAATAAAGATATGGGCCCCTTCAACTATACATGTAACCAGTTCATCAATTTCTCTTGCCTTTGAACACGCTGGGGGATTTTGGCGTTCATGAAGCCACAAAGAAAATGGGAGTGCATGTATCGGCAGAGCCTTCTGTGATTCCACGAAATGCTTGATTACTACAGATTTCGTAATGAGAAAGGATACAGCAGATGCCCTTCGCAGATTAAAATCTACGAGGCCTCAGGTCTGCATCTACAACGCCTGTCGAGCATGATGACAAAGCCCAAAGTCCAGCAACTGAAACTAGGGAGTGTCTTAGCATGCCCGAGTTTAAGTCATACTGTACTATCATAGAGATTACTACAGTACAGTACTGTATCTTGCGACTTGTACGTACAATCAAAATTGTGTACCGCCGCTTCATTTCTCCAACTGCCCTGAGGGAAAAGACACTTTGCGCTTGCAAGAACACCTTTTTTTCGACAAGCACCACTTTTGAGATTTGCACGCAACGGTGCAAATCGTCGAACTCCAGCAACCAGCAGTGGTTGACGATTAGTAATGCAAGTCACCATTTATGTTGTTGCCAAAGTCGGTGCCAAAGTCGGCTGGGGGAACAGTTCCGCACTCTTGCACTGTTGCCTCCTGTTTCGGAAACCTTGCTCGCCAGATCTGCGTTTTCCCATTCTAGTGGAAATGTATAATTGCGGTAAGAGCAAGAGCAAGGCAAACCAAAGCGATCAAAACTTTGTTTAGATGCAACTGCCTGACATCACAGTGCATTGCTGTTCATTGTACCTCCTTTCTTGGGGGTAAGTAGATAATCATCACAATCACTGTACCCAAGGGTACCCAGGGTACATTATTTTCATGCACCCCGCTAAATATTCTACAGCATTGGCTTTCCATTTTGACAGAGGGTCTTCATAATATGACACGACATATTATGTCGTGAAGCCTTCCATCTACAGAATCATATTGAACCTCCCTATCATGCTGTCATCGACATCCAATCTCCCTAGCATGCTAGGTGGGGGGCTAAGTCCGTCCTTCCCATACAGTATTGATGCCACACGATACGTATCATACAGTAGTATGTAACCTTACTGTATTGAACAGCACAAGAACATAAACGTACAGTAATGGTGAGGTCATCTCTGCACCATTCAGGTTGTGCGCACTCTGTGTCTTTGAATTTGCTTCGGCGCATCGTTCCCGTACAGTAACATCCAATGCAGTCTTCAGGAATAGGGTTTAATTAAGTAAAGCTTCACTGTAACCTCAACATTCAACTTCAGACCCTCTCTTTCGCCTTGTGCTGTACCCTTACTGTAACTATTTTCACAGCCTCACATCACGATGTTAGCCCCTTCCCATCACGACCTTGGTTTTGTTCACTGCATGGATTTTCGGGAGGCTCTCAACTTTGGGTCCCGGCGCATTCTTACAGCCCTACAAATCCCTCCTTTACCTCAGGTGCACATTACGCCCTAATTCACATCCACGACGTTGCCCCTTCTGGCATGACAAGCACCTAAGAGTACTGTACAGTATATACCAACAGTCTGTGTTGTGAATTAGGCTCCTGAGGCAAATTTGTGTGAATGTAGCTGCATCCAGACGGATTCACGGGGTTTCTCTTTCTTTCACACACACAGATACCGTTGTTGGATGTTGGATGTATCCTACAATGCATTCTGCACAACTCGAAACAAAGGTCTTCTAACGTGTAGCATTTATGCGGCACGCTGTCGAATATTGGGCGACTCCGAAAAACATAAATTGTGTACACACAAATTTCCTTGTGTATGTGTGTCGTATTTTGTGCCTTGGCACGGAAATGCATGTGAACAAAAATTTGTGTAAGACACATTTAATGCCAATTCACCCTCAGTGAGGTGTCAGCACGCCGGCGGACGGATTGCGGTACCCCCTTCACGCCCTATCCTATGATACTGACGAAGGAGCCGCCGGCTTGGGGACAAATATCGGGTGCCGGCTCCTCGTCGGAGTCGGCAACATGAGCCATGTAGACGTTGGGCTGCGGGGTTGGACAGCGGCTGATACGACGGAGGGAAAGTGTGGAGGGAGGCCAGATCGAAATAGGAATGAGGTTGCCGAGGGGTGGGATGGGTTGATCGGACAGATCGCAGAGAAATATTTGAGCACATGGTATGATATAGGGTGGTATAGGTGGGTGCGGATGTGCGTTTGTGTCTGTGCACAAACAATTACATCGGGAGGGGAACGAAGAGCAAATCGGCGGTTTGTGTATGCACAAACACCTCCGACTCAATCAAAATCGGCGGATTTGCGCATACACAAAATGTGTTTTTATGTTTTTCAGAGTCGCCCATTGCACCACGTTGCACTATGCCCAAAATTGTGAGCATCCACTTGTTCTGCAACACCTTGCAACCCTGCTACTTGCATGTTCGTGAAAACGTAAAGTCCTCTCGGGTCTCTACTCTACCATAATCGTCATAAGTCAAGAGCAGGTTTAATTTGCTGTCGTCTGCAAAGGCAATCCCGCCGAAGTGAGCAGCACGAGCAGTACCCTGGTACTGTACCTCGAAATGTTTTCTTCAGACTAGACAGTGATTTTATGCTAAGACATTGAGCAGTGGTCATTACTGTACCACATGTGACGGTTGTTGACAGACTTCATTTCGAAAATGTGTGGGTGTGTGTGAGAGAGAGCGTTCGACAAACTCTTCTTCACGCCATTGTATTCTTCCCGCAAGGCAATTAGTCCTCAAGCCCATGCTGCTGGGCAAGAGAAAACATAATTATGCTGGAGTTCTCAGAATGCGTAAATTTCGACTTTTCGTTGCATATTTCTGGCTTCATGTTTCTGGATTCCTTAGAATAAACTTCCTTCCTGAGTCCGCGGGGCTTGATGGCTAAGTGCATGCAATGTCTCTTACACGGTATTGATATGTAATACAGTACATGTGAGGTAAAGGAGGCTAGTGAGCTAATACAGCGGCAAAGTAAGGCCATCCAGAAGAGCGAATAGTTAATCATGTCACACGAACGCGTTACAAAAAGAAGCTGTGCCATTTCCAGGTGCACTGGGGTGAGTTTCGTAAATCAGGAGCTTTATAGCCTGGAACATCAGGAGTGAGTATCGTAGAGCCACTGACATAGGGCTGTTAACCAAGTCCGTCATCCCGTTGTACGGATTGCTCTTTATCATAAACATGTGACAATGCTCAAGGGAAAGAGCTTACATCAATATGAATGTCTTTTGACCGGATAAAACGTAAAGTTATAAACCAGGTCGCGATCTTCACCACGAAGCGAGACTACAGTCTGCAAGCAATCTCGCAGGGATCACACACATATCTGAATTTGCTGCTCTCCTTGAAACCGGATGTCATGCCCCTACTAAGCCCCTTGCCCGTTTCGCCAAGCTTTCATACTGGCAAAATTTAGTCTCGTCCATTTCGAGTTGTTTGTAAGGCGAGTATCCCAGTGAGGGTGACATCAATGTGCGTTTTGGCATTTTCTAGTGTTGAGCTCAATTTGGCCAGCATCAAAGAACTTTTTCGTTTCTGTTTGGTCACATTCTTAGGCATATATGACAATCCTTTGTCAACGATGCGTCCCGCTCAAATTTTATATGGTCGTAAAGAAGGACTGCGAGTGATCATATTTGAATGAACTAACTCAGCAATTGTCCCCTACTGCCTTCACAAAGAAAATCTCACCTCTATGAAGGAATGACGGTAAAGATATTTGTACTTTTCACGTTGTTTTGACAGAAGTCTTTTGCTGCGCTGGAAATCAACAAATATGTCTTCAGAGTACAGTGCAGAGGTGCTGTACGATGTAGCTGTGTTGCTGGTGATAGAAAAGTGTCTCGACTTGTTATCCACGCAAGGGCCCACAGAAGACATATTCCTGTCATCGTCCTTCTACGACAAACAGGATGTACTCGGCCATGAAGCTGAGCTCGTTTGGATGTAATTTTTAATTAAAGAAATCAGGCTTATTGTACTTGATCACCTGCTATGAGGCTATGACAAGAATCTTGACAGGTACTTGCTTTACGGAATGTGAACAAGTTATGACAAAGCACAAGACCTTGAAGAAATACAGCAAAATCCTTTGCTCTGACGGAGCACGACAAAAACAAAATTTGAAGTCTGAAGAGGATGTCTCTTCTCCAAGCTCATATCGAAACCTCGAGTTGGCGGCTCAACTTACTGTCACCTCGGAATATGTGCAGCACAATACATTGATTTTCATTGCAAAGAACTCTGTTCAAACCTCAGCATCGCATCAAAAAAATTCAACCCTTCAAACTGAACCTGCTGAAGCCCGGAAGTGTTAGCATGAAGCGTGCCACAAATATCTATATAAGGCGGGGTTTCCTTCAGACCGAGACCCTTTTCACTCTCTCCATCGCTCCAACCACCAACGTGCTGATACCTCAAGTCTCACCCCTGCTCAGTGCACACCATGAATACTGCTACACTTTTCGTCCTTCTGGCTTTGGCTACCGTATGCCTTGCCGCCGAGTTCGGCTCCAATCCTACTTTGGAGCAGGATAGCCGGTCGGCTTATTACGAGGACTACTACAAGCCCCCGCCGAAGCACCGCAAGCCGCCTCACAGGCCTCCTCACAGGCCTCCTCACAGGCCTCCTCACAGGCCTCCTCACAAGCCGCCTCACAGGCCTCCTTACAAGCCTCCTCACAAGCCGCCTCACAAGCCGCCGCCGTGCCCTTGCAAATGCTTTACTGGACATAAAATCAAAGTCGCCGTCAAGCAGTGCGGGAACAGGAGCTTTTTGCACCGTTGCTATCTTCAGGAGTGTTACGACGGCTACTACCCCGGGAAGACGTGCTGTGACTACTATCATCCGCCGCCGACGAAGCCGGCCACGACGACAACAACGACAACGACAACAACGACCAAGAAGCCCTGCCCGTGCAAATGCACGTACGAGCATTTGGCTGAGAAGGCGTGCAAGCACCTCTACTACTGTCATATCTTCAAGTGCGGCACCCCTTACTACTCGCACAGGATGCAAGATACCGAGAGGTATTCTGGTAGCTACTATCAGAAATATGAATGCTGCGATCATCATTAAGTCCTTTCACTCTCAGAGATGAGAGACTTCACGAATAGGGGAGTCCGATTTAAGCTCCACTGACGTCGACCCCGACCTTGGGGAATTTACGAATTCTACTCTTTTTGCCCCCAGTTGTTAAGGACGTTACGATTCATGTGAATGAGACGTCGGGGCCCACGACAGGAGCGTCCTATATCGTAGAGCGTCCTATATTGTAGTTTTTCTGATAAATGAATCGAAATCTGTGCATTCATGTTCAGAATCAATAATTGGCGAAAGAATGTTGAAGTGCAGTGCAGCATTGGCGTGAGTACATAATATGTATTGCATATTATGCAAAAGTTGTGCTCACAGTCATGATCTAACCACATACAGTACCCTTGGTACTGTATGTGGTTAGATCATGACAAGGGTAGTGGACACGATATAGGAGCACCCGGTGTCAACCCCTTCATACTGCTCTTAATCCGAGGTTGCTACTATTCAAGAATCCCGCACAGGATGCCTATTTTACTCCTTAGAACGCTGTAGCATCTCACCAATAAGCAGTTGCCTGGACCCGTGCTGCGGCCAATTCCAAAACGCTTCATCACAGAAGAGGCGCTCGCGCCATTTTGAAGACAACGCGCAGCCTCGGCTTTCTCTTTCAACGGAAGGCGCTTGCGCCTCTTCAGCGAGCCGTGAGCCACCGGTGGAAAGTGAGAGGTCATTTCGGAGCACCGTATTGATCCGTGCGTCGGAGAAATGGAACAGGCGGACTGTGGGCGGGACTTCTGAGATGCGTTTGAAATACCAGGCGAGAAAGGGACTTTGTGATAGAAATTACAGTGTTTGATGGTGCTTGAAGCTATGATACCGTGCCAAGCGAAAATGGTGCTCTTACTGCGAGGTCGTTCTTATTCAAAGTGCTCTTATATCGCGACCCCCCCTATTTTTCAAGTTAAGAATTTTCCAATATAGACTGAGCAGTCGTGAGGCACGCTGTCTTGAGATAGACGGCCCTCCATCGGCAGGAGTGCACTGAGCTTACGCTGTATTGCGCTACCGAAGATGAGACTAACTGTGAGTCGTCCTGTACCTGTCAGAAGTTGTCCGGGGACACAAACTGAGAGCAAAATACACGGAACATGTCCAGATGCACAGGAGGCAGGAAACTAGGATAACAAAACTTCAATAGTCGCGATTGTTTCCGTCACAGTACATCGGGATTTGGAGAAGGGAGATGAGCGGAAAGGGGGCAGTGAAGTGTGTTTCGGCTTCCGTCCATCACACGATGTGATGGTATTGACATTCGCGTTACAGTACCAAAGTAGTACAGTGTAACATTATTAGGCAAATATGCAACAAGTCGAGGTAAAATACTGCACTATACCTGTCACACCCTGACGCAACGGGGAAGGTGCACAAGCTTTCCGGAGTTGGAGGATCCATGTGTGGGAAGACTTATTACTAATAATAAAAGAAGAAGCATTATTACATATACAAATAGAACGAGGTCATATCTTGAGTATTCAAGAGTTCTCACTTAAAGTCTCTTCAATAGAAGGCTGCGGCAGTGTTTCCAAGTCATTGCACATAGGAAATATGTCGGCCAAACGGCCTCCGGAGGCGGTCGCCAAACCTTTCCATGAGTTTGTCTTCTTCTGGGATGAAATCATTAGCACAGTGTCAGTCAGTCCATAGAGCTCTACGGATTGTAGCCACATATGTAGGATAAAGACCATTACAGTACCATTCTAATATATAGCCTTGCGTTTTTGAAAACGTTTGGTGACAGATTCCGAGCATGCTCTTGTCTCAGTATAGCCGGGCGTATCCAATCTGCAAACGTAGTCCCCTTTCCCACTGAAATCATACATGCAAGGAGCCTCTGAACCTCATCAGCATGAACGCATACTCGGAAGCGTGCGCTGAGTTTCTTTAAAATTATTCCTTCGGAAGCAAGTACTGCTCCAATAGCTTTGGCGACAGTACGATCGTCCAAAGATGAGAAAAGATGGGCCCATTTGGAACCAGAAACGTTTGACAAGCAAATATCTCGCCCTCATAACGTCGTTGCATGAAAGCAGGCGTACATTCTCTCCTGTTTCTACTCGGATAGATTGCAGCTCACGCGTAGCTGTCTAGCTACAGCAAAAAGGTCTTCAGAGCTGGATGTATTCGTTATGGGCGACGTTTTTGATTCGGTGCTTGATGCCACACTGCCTTTTTTAAATAGAAGAAGCCAGCGATCCATCGGTGGAGAAAGTGCGCCTACTGAGACGTTTGGAAGCTTACCAAAGCGCCCTTCATTGATGATGTATAGACAGCTACGAAAGCTGTACTGGACTCTCACATCTGAGGCAGATAGGTGGCCATTGAAATTAGTCCATATAGAATCGTCAAATTGTGACCATTCTTCCATATCCTCTCAAGGGATCATATTGATGGAATTGATTCTCCATAGACGAGATTGTCTACGATAGTAATTGTCAAAACAGAGCCGCGCCTCATGAAGTCACATTTCTCCGAGTTTCTGGTTCCGTGTAGTGTCATTTATCTATATTTCGAGATTCAGCTCTTGTTTGATATGTATGAAGGACGGCGGGGATGTTCAATAGCACCGTAGCAGTTATGTTGTCAAATTGAGATGGTAGGATTAGCTCATCCACAAATACCGAAAGAATAGCTTCCCCTTCCGAAATTGGATTGAAAAGCGTCCAAACTTTAGTAGGTTTCGTCTTTTATTAGTCGTACTACCTACCCCCTCTGCACTTTTACACTGGACGTCCCCGATATTTCTGGATCAAATCAAACAGATGACCGTAACCATTCTGAGAACATCGGTGGAACATCTTTTCTGCCAGCATCGTAGGGTCTTGGCGCTGATTCGGCTCCATACCTCCTGGGATTACAACATACCTGCCATCCTGCGGTCTCCTTGCGGCAAGCAGTGCAGAGGTACACAACGGCTTTTTCGGATACGTCAAGTGTCGCAAAAGAGTTTGGGAACGTCCCTGTGTCAGCTGTGCCCCCAGCTAGGATTTTCTATTCGTCAGGAACCATTTGAAGGCTCGTTTTACGTATTCGTTTCGTTTTGGCAGGCGATGCAAGGAGGATATATTATCCGTCATATAACCCTCTACAGAGCAACGGATCGGACGAAACGAGCTCTGCATGTACCATACCTGACCGTTTTACACATTAACCATCAGAAACCAAAAGCCAACTCAACTAATATGCGCGTGAGGTATGTGGAGAGAGTGCTTCAGGAAAAAGTTGGAAATGCAGTCCAAAAGTGGAGGGTTGGCAATTCCTGCGCAACTGTGGCCTCATTATCCTGCGGAGGTCGATTTTTCACACAGCTGGTGTTAGCTAAGCATGGCCTAAAGTTTATCATGCCAGCCAAAATGCCCGATAAAATCCGGGTGCTCACTGACTGTTAATAAGCCCCAACAGGTGCTACGCACACTGCACACAATTATTGATTAAATAAAAAGGTTGACAAACTCAAATCTTCTCGTTAAATAATTTCAAGTATGCCACCCTGTCGCCACGTGGACGTTTTCCAGAACCACGCCATCTTACTTTAGTAATATAACTTATCAAAATGTCTACAATTAGTTCAGCCACTAACTTCGAGAATTTTCCTGCAGCCAAACTATCGACGACATAATGCTGATCGTACCTCACATTATATTTCCAGGAGCACTATTACGGAAATATTTCTCACTTTAACATATGCCTAGCAACGACTTTTCTATTTGTGGCGCATCTGGGAAAGCTTCACCAGAAAGTGGAATAGTATCAGCCCCACCGTTATTCTTAACTACAATCATATATTAATTGAAAATAGTACTTCCCGATGAACCTTTGTGCTCAAACTTTGTCGACATACGCGTTGCCTCTACTGATGCAATATTGGAGGAGACGCTCTCCCCAATCAAAGAACAGATGTAACGCCACCTCGTTCGAGGTGGGGCTTAATCCATCCCTGAGTTGCTGTTTTGAGACAATTCCTAACCAAAGCGCATGCATAACACACCATTTTTTATTAATTTTGGGGCGGTATCCCCAGTTTCCCGAGTGCACGATGACGTGCAATCACTCTTTGATGTCTTCTTGAATCCGACAAGACTCTCGCCCTCACACCGCTGTAGTATAATCACCCCCAACGACGAGGGGGGTATGTACTGACAGTTCGGAAAGACCCCGATCGGCGGGAAGACAGAAGCACGGCCCACCCACGATACCGAGCACGGGCTCGAGGTAGCGGTGGTAGAGCGGGATCGGGTAGGACGCGCGCACGGGCGAGCGGTTCTACGCCTCGACGCCCCGGAGCGGTACTGGGTGATGATCCAGTACCAACGGGCGGAGGCGGAGCCGGCTTGTAGGCGTGCTACGCGCGTCCTCAACCCGCGCGCGGTGCTAGTCCTAGGTAAAACGGACGGAAGTACCTAAAAGTAAGCGGGCGGACCAAGGTGGAGGATCCTTGACAAGTCCGTGCTTGTTGTCCTCCACCGCCGGCGGTCCGCTCATATTTAATGTACAGGGTCACCTATCATAACATTACAGTAGTGCAGGTCGGCCTGCACTGTAGTGCTGTCAGCCGTCGGGGCTGGCAGCACACGTGTTGTACACGTGTGTGTGCGCGCGCCCCCGTACACGTGGGGTACACGTGTGCGCGCGCACTGAGGTACTGTAGAGCTCGGGCTCTACTGTCATAAATCTAATCTAAATCTAATTTAGGGAGGGGGATATGCTACATGGCCCCCCTCTCAAGTGTGGACGTCCGCGTCCATTTTGGCGCTGTCCAAGTCCTTTCCTGACAGTCCCGATCGATCTTCTCCGCTCCGTCCTATCGGCCGTCCTATCATGGCCGACTCGACCTCTCTTCCTCCTCCGCCTCCGCCTCCGCTCGATGGTGGCGGCAAACCCGTGGCGGCGGGCGCGTCCGTCGTCGCGATTCCTTTGCCGAGCGGGGTCGGGTCATGGAGCGCGTCCCCTGGATCGTGAGAGGACGACATCGCTCTGACTCGTACGGCCCCGTTGGCCCCGCTGGCTTTCCAGAAGTCCCGTTCCCGCTCCACGACCGTCTCCGTGGAGCTGGTGGCCCCTCCCGTGGGGCCACCCAAACCGGTTATCGCGTTCCGTCCGGCTGCCCCTTCGGCCCCAGCGGAGGACGTCCTTCCCGTTGCGCATTTGGACGTCGCGCGCGACCACGCCGCTCCTGATGGTGCGTCCTTCGGCCGTCGTCCTCCTGTACCTCCCCCCTCCTCTTCCGGTCGGGAGGGGGAGGTGGCCTCTGCCATGCGGTGGTTCG